TCAAATTGTTTGGTGTTAGCTCTAAGTGATGATGTCGCTTTTATCAAGTAACTAAAGAATATATGTTACCGTGAATATGTTATGGGCTTGATGCCATTCATGGCTCCCAATTGTGAATGTGTTATGGGCTTGACGCTATTGTTGTTCGTCTAATTTATAAATGTGTTATGGACTTGACATCACTAATGGCTTGCTAATTTTGTAAATGTGTTAGGGGTTTAATGCCATTTGTGGCTCACTAATTTCATGAATTTGTTTATGGGCTTGAGTCATTCGTGGCTTACCAATCGTGAATACGTTATAGGCTTGATGCCATTTATGGCTTGCTAATTATGGAAGTGTTAGGTGTGAGGTGCCATTCATGGCTCACCAAATTGGTCAATGTGTTATAGGCTTGACGTGATTTGTGGCTCATTAATTCCGTGAATGTGTTTATGAGCTTGATGCCATTCGTGGCTCTCCAATCATGAATGTGTTATGGGCTTGACGCCATTCGTGGCTCATGAATCATAAATGTGTTCTAGACTTAATGTCATTTATGGCTTGCAAAATTTGTAAATATGTTATGGACTTAATTTTACTAGTGGCTTGGCAGTTTTGTAAACATGTTATGGACTTGATGTTATTAGTGGCTTGCCAATTTTATGAATGTGTTAGGGGCTTAACGCTATTAATGGCTTACCAATTTTGTGAATGTGTTTACGGGCTTTACGCCATTAATGGCTCACTAATAGTCAATCTGTTATGGGCTTGATGCCATTCATAGCTTGCCAAAATTGTCAATGTGTTATGGACTTGACGTCGTTCATGGCTAACCAATTTTGTGAATGTCTTTTTAGGCTTGACTCCATTTGTAGCTCACCAATTGTGAAGGTGTTATGGGCTTGACATCATTCGTGGCTCACCAACCATGAATGTATTATGGATGTGACACAATTCAAGGTTCGCCAAAATTTTCAATGTGTTAGGGGCTTGCCATTATTCACGATTCATCGATTTTATGAATGTGTTATGGGCTTGATGTCATTCATCGCTCTCTAATCGTGAATGTGTTATGGGCTTGACATCATTTGTGGCTAGCTAATTTTATGAATGTTAGGGTCTTGATGTTATTTATGGCTCATCAATTTTGTGAATGTGTTCATGAACTTAATGCCACTCATGGCATCACCATTTGAACATGTTATGGGCTCGAGCCACTTGTAGCTCGCCACCTCCTAATCTTGTTTCTTCGTTCTCTTTTATTTTCAAAGTGAGGAAATAGGCATTTGACCCATCCGATTCCCAAATCACTTGACTAGTTAATTATCAATAAAAAAGATAAAATACATTCAAATAGGCTTAGATATATAGTATAGTAAGACCAAACATTGACATTCAATGTCTATGCAATGCAACCAACATTAGGTAGGACGTAGTAGTAATGATCTTGATCTTCTCGATCCATAACCAATTCATCAACTAAGATCTTGTGTAGACCAGTCATTGGGCTTTCTATTTATCTTATACTAGGTGGCGACTCTTTTCCCTTATCCTATTTTCCTTGAGCATTCACTGGATCCTCCGATGTCGCTCCCACGAAAAAGGTCATATGAGAAGCTAGTTTGGTAGGAAAACCTTGAGAAAAATCAAGTTTTGACCTAGAAACAAAAAGAAAGGATTAACTAAACAAAGGGAGAATCGGCCAAGTTGAGTCCTATGACCGGCCGAGTTGAATTCGGGAAGTCTTACTCATTTTATCAAGATTTTGTGCAATGGCTAGTTCCATACTTGGAGTAACAGACTAGTTTTTTTTTTTTAAAAAAAAAGCTTCTATAAATACTTATTATTCCTATGCATTTTAGAAATGAGAAAGTGACAAGAAATTAAGAAGAGAAAAAGAGACACACTTCTATATTATTACATTTTTTTTTAGAGTTTAATTGATCAAAATATTTCATATTGTACAATTACACTTAACTTTGATTGATTTGCTCTCAAGGTGAACATAATCATTTAGGTAATTTATTTATTATTGAAATATTTTATATGGAGGTGAGAGTGGCTACCAATCAATATTCGAGGTTAAAGATAGACCAAAAATTGTAAAAAGCGCTTTTTTTTTTATTTTAATTGCAAGTAGGAATGTACAATGGAGTGGAAAATCTGAAGTGAAGCTTAGGGATTGGATGTAGACATGGCATAATCAAGATAAATCTTTATGTTTGATATATTTTTTCCTATATTTTCATTTTATTAGTTTGTTCTTATATCTTGTAAATTTTATTATCCCTACATATTGTATATATCTTGTTTGTTTGGTTGTTGTCTTGTATTTTTCTTGTCTTTAAGCGCTTGGCCATAAGTCTTATATCTCTATAAAATTTTGTTTTATCTTATCAAGAGTTACATAAGGTACATTATATGCTCAAGTGCCCCCATTGGTGCCCGTAAGGACTATTATTACCGACTGTGGAATTGGAGGTTTCAAATAAATATTATACGCTTAGAGGCTATTTCAATTTTTTTCTCTCTAAAGTATAGATTTTGATTTCTTTTTTAGTTTAAATTTTTATTTATCCAAAATCTATCTTCCTTTGATATCTATTTAAATTTATGATTTAAGAGGTCATTTAATATTTTATCTAGAATTAATAAAATTATTTTGATAAATATTATATTTTTAGAGACCGATGAAATTTTTCATCTCTTGACTAATTATGAGCTTCTTTCGGGGCCTAGTGAACATGTTTTTGTGCACTCAATAAAAACCATATGGTATGTGTGATTGACTACTTCCTAATTTTTTTGCCTCGTAAAGCCCACCAATTAAACCATGTCCCCTTTGGAGGCTTAGGGTCTTGTTGGGGATAGTGTGAAATGAATTTATATTCATTTTCCAATTGTTCTTGAAATCTAAATCAATAGATGTGGTAAGAACATACTCTAATCCACCATAAGTATCTACAACAACATTATCATCAACGTCTTTCTCACTATTTTCCTTATTCTTGTGACCATGACAATCCTTATTGGTTTATGATTTTTCTTCTTCTATTTCGGACAATCAGCCCTAATTATGTCCTTTTCTAAGATTAAATTCATATATCATGACTCGTGGTCTCCTATGATCACCATATGTTATCCAAACTCGCTCCTTAGACCTACTATTCATTTCTATGATTGCATCATCTTGTTGTTTACTATCGAATAGCCATCAAATGTCTCTTTTTATAAGATTTTTAGGAAATAGAAAGACTTCCTCTAAAGTTACGGCTTTTATACAAAACAAAAAAAGTCACTCTAAAATTCTATTATACACGAGAGAAAGAACATGACAATAGCAAGATCTAATCTTTATCATTAATGTCATAACCAATAGACGGACCAAAAAAAAAAAAAAACATTATAATCAAATTAAACTCATAATGATGAGATTTCATTAGTGTACCTTCTAGCTTATGCAAGTATATGACAATAGTTCAAGTACGGTTTGTTGGTCATATCTCAAAAAAATTTCATCTTATTAGTAGAGTTGAATGGCCTTCGCTGTTTTTCCAGAGACTTAAACGAGTTGCTTCCATCAAATTTTTTAATATGAAGTGTTGACAAAAACATAGTGATTTACATAGATCAATTATAAACAACAAACCTAGAGCTTCAGTATTAGTTTTTTAAGGATTGCACATGCATCTTAAGAAAAATCACAATAAATAAAAAATAAAAACTACACAACATAAATTTTTTATATAACTCGGCTATGTCTTTGAACACAGACGAAGAAGAGAAATTCACTATAACCAAAATAGTACAAGTTTAGGAAACTATGGATCCAAATCTTAAGTACACTAGTAAATACTCATAGCACGCATAAATTGCTCCCACCTAACACGCCTACAAAATAGGCTTAAACTCATATTTACAGATGACATGTTTCAATCTAAATGGGATCCTATTAAACTCATACTTATAGTTAATATGTTTTAATCTTAATGGGATATTTCATTTTATTTCTTTGTCTGGTTGCAAGTAATGCAATGGAGAGCATTTACAAAGTTTCATTTTAGGCTTTGTAGTTTCCAAAATATTTGTTTTAGTGCACATATATTATCTTTTACAAATTGGTCCTTATTTAGAAGTTTTTGGCTCCTTTGTAATTTATAAAAATACAATTACTCCTTATAATAAAAACATTTTTGCAATTAAGTCCCTACATGATTACTTTCATCGTGTAATGGTTCATTACCAAGGTTTTTTTCTTTAAAAAAATTCTTGTAATATAATAACTCATTACAATCATAATCGTCGATTACAGTATAATTTTAAAAATTATACAACCAACATAAAAAATATAAATGAGTCATCATATTACATGATCAATTACATCCAACATAACAGAGAATCCAGACTGTAACATCTTATTCTGAAACAAAAGAACACGTTAGAAACCAAAGCAATACCTTGCGTGAGGGCACCAACATATCACCTATATGATAGCATAACCAAGGAAAGCTTGGCCCGGTTCATCGTTCTGGAATTCTCTACTATCCGTACTGGACAGAGAATGATAATTATGTTCCCATTCTGCAATCCCAGATCAACGAACAGCTATACATGCAAAAAGTACCAAACACAAACAACACAGCTACCTTAACTCTAGAATCCAATGTCAATTCAAAACAAACATTTTATCATATTTTGGTTTCAAAACAAATATTTTATCATATTTCCAACCAAAATAAAGAAAAAAACCAACCTTAATCATATTACAGCAACTTACGAGTGCATGTGCCCTTATTTTTGTTACAATAATCTTGAAATATATGATACTATATACAGTCCTTGAAAAAAAAAAAAACAAAAAAACTTACATCCCTAGAGTCACACAACTGGAAAAATATGCAACTGAAAAAATCTATAATCCCTGTAACCAACTTTATTCCACTCCTTATGACGATGCAGAATCTAAAAGAATAAAGAACCACAATAATCGTAAAGCTGTCCCATCTTCTTAAACTATACTATTGGTGATTCTGGCGCAGAGACAGTAGGTGTGCAGCAAAGGTGTCATAGTCAGGAAGTTTTGGGTGAACATGGCTGGCTTTATTGATGGAATTCTCCCTGGATGGCATCTCACCATGTGAATTGGAGGTCTTTGAACTTCGAGTACTGCCTGTCGCTACTGTCTTAGGAGGAGAATTAAATGGCTGTTCCTGAGCTAAAGACTTCAGTTTTTCCTCATGCAAAGACCTCTTGGATTCTGAAATTGGCTTCGAAGCTGCTTGTTCTGTGGATCTAGGCAGCTGCCTAGAACTTGCCCAGTAATCTGAACTCTGCGACTGAGATGGTGGTCGTTGCTGAATATCAGTAGCATCTGAACTCCAAGATGATGATTCTTCATGTGAGGACCTCTTGGATTGTTGAATTCGCTTAGAAGCTGCTGCTTCTTCTGTTGACCTACGTTGCTCACGACTCTCCTGGTAACCTGAGCTTCTGCTCTGGGGGATTGGTTTAGTTTCAGCAGCATAGGAACTACTTGCGGATGATCTGCTTTCCACAAAAAAGTCCGCACCCACTGAAGACTTGGAAAGCATTGAAGCCTTTGAAGAAGAATCTTTATCAGAACTTGGAGAAGATACCTTTGTCCGTCGAGACAACCCAGTTAAATGAGTTTTCCTAGATGACATCTGTTTAGAAACCACCTCAGAATCACTATCATCTGAGTCAAAAGAAGTCCTTGTTCTTGACCTCTCATTCCCTCCAATAACTAATTTTCGACTGTCTGACTCTTTACTGCTGCTAATATTTTGTTGTGGTAATTCCTCGTAAGAATCGCCATCATCAGAATATGTAGCTGGGGTTATTGAGCTTACTTTTACATCTACTTTTGTGTGCAGTCTCTGATTGTGTGTCTCCTGATCCTGAGCTCCAGAACCAATATCAACCTTGGAGGAAGAAGAGGACTGACCAGTTCTTGAAGAAGTATTCTCTATTGCTTGTTCAGATGATGAAGAATTATTTGTTAGATTCCATCGGTATGGTGGATGCCTATAGCCCTTATTTCGAAGGCCACCTGTCAATATTCCCAAGTTCAACTCTGCACCAGTTTCCAAACTGGTTTCTTCAATAGGTTCAGCATTCTTTGTGGTGATTGGTAATTCGCAATTTTGAGCATTTTTCACTGATGGATGCCCAGTTTGCAGGTTGTCCTTTAAGTCATTAGAACTTGCGCGAAATTTCACAGGTGTGGAAGAAGCTTGATTCGTGTCCAAGTTACCATAAGCAAACTTGTTATCTGCTTCAACTATAACTCCAGTTCCTTGATTTTTCTCAGAGAACACTTCTTCGACATCTGAATCAAGGGAAGATGTCTGCAAATGTGTTTTATGGTTGGATCCCAAATTTTCCTCATCTGCAAGTGAAGACATTATCGAGTAAGGACTCCCACTATGTGTGGGGTCAGTGTTTCTTGTGTAAACGCTCTCGGTATGAACAGTATTGCCAGGCCTTGAACCACCAACCACCTCATAGGTATCCAGCTCCATTTCACTCTCTGAAATTGCACCGTCAGAATCATCAAAAGTCATGGGTAACAAGTCATGTGGTTGGGAAGGAACAGTGTCAGCAGTCAAATCTTCAGAAAAGAATGCCGAGGTCACTGGCATCTGCAAACTGGACTTTACTCGAAACTCATCCATGTTTTGACTAGGGCCCCAAGCATTTGTATTCACAAACAAATGAGAAGATGAATTTGTACATTCTGATGAAAGAATTGAATCATACTCTTGGCCATTATGTTCATCCTCCACATCGAACTTAAATTCCTTGTCTGAAGCAGAATCATCAAAAACAACAGCATTGTCATAAAAATTTGTTCCTTTTGCATCTCTTTGTATTTTTTCGTCATCAATAATAAAAGGATCCTTATCAGTTTCATGACCTGTTTTCTGCTGGTTGATATTGGAAAACACATTGTAATCATCACTGAAAGTTTGCGAATGAGAATGTGAGGAAACACTGCTAGACTGTTTGCTGATTCTTGCTTCCTCAAAGTAACCAGCATTCTCCGGTGTCATTCCGTCATCCAATTTACTCACAAAGATTACCTCAGATTCACTAGACTCTTGCTTTACGCTAGCTTCACCCAAATCATATGAGCTCTTTCGAGAATGCCTATCTGGCATTGGGAGATCATTAATTGATGGATGATCATCCACAGAAGCATTACTGGACTTCAACGAAGCTGACTGACTAGGTTTATTAGAGCTCTTGAGATTGTAAAACCTTTTAGTCAATCCAGCCAGGTCATCTTGTTCATCGCCCTCTCTTTGCTCACAATGTATGCCTGAATTTCTTTTATAAGGAGCATTACTTATCTGATCTTTGGCAACATCTTCGCCTTGCAACTTTGAGCCAGTATGGTTTGGAGGTCCTACATCTCTTGATGCAAAAGCAAAAGCCTTCTGTGATTCGGTTAAATCCTGCTTGGTTATCTTTCCTTGGCTTGAAAGTTCTGCAGCTGCTCTGGCAGCCATGCTTGCTCGTTCAGCAGATTCAGCAGCTGCCTGTGCAGCAGCTGTGGCATCCTTAAATTCCATATTCCAATTCTGCGGACCTGATAAAACCCCACTTTGGTTCCCTGCATGTGTACGAGGATTAATAAGCAAAGAACAAGGCAAAAGACAGATTCACATATATTCATCTAAAAACAAATAAGCCAGGCAAATAGTTCACAAACCTAAAGGCCTGTGATCTTGATAGGAATGGGGTAATGATCTTAAATTGGGGCCACGAGAGTTTGCAGGAACATCATGCTTTACATAGTTTTGAGAAAGATTATGGAAATTATGAGCTCCCTGATCAACCCTATCCGGTGAGGCTTGAATAGCAGGTTCCACATGCACTTTACTGGCCTGCTCAAAGGTATTGGGTCCATTCTGCTCAAACACATTTATAGTTATACAAATATTAAGGAAATAGATTTTGAATTTCTGTGCATCCATTCTGCACCACAAAAGGCATTACCAAGAAAAAGGTGAATAACTTGTAACATTTTATCTTACCAGCATGTCCTCAGGAGGCTTGGTATCTTTCTCTCCAAATGACTTAGGATCCCACTTAATATTATGTTCCTCGGCAATTGCTGTCAAAATTTTGATTTTGGTAGGGCCATCAGGTGCTTTGGCAGACAATTTTTCCACCAACTGAAAAATAATAATGAAAAAGTTTATCAAAAACTCTGAGCTGCAGAGTTCCACTTATCAAATCAATTAAAAAATCTTACCATACGGCTAACACCACAGTCTGGACGTAATTCAACTGCTGCAGATACATATTCTTTCCCATATTTTGCCGTAAAATGCTTCCGAACATCCATCAATTCTGGTACATCAGCACATCTTGGAGATGCAAAAATTACACTTGAGACAGCTTCCTTCAAGTCAATGGGACAGTTTCTGAAATGATACAAAATAGATTAACACACTGCAGCAGTCATCAAAAGCCAACAAAATTTACCAGTACAGCATTTTAGTTCAGCTGCATGAGTAAAATATTAAAAATATCATCCATAAACTCGAATGAATCAAGAGTAGGGATGGTATGATGATGGATGAGGCCAGAGGAATCTAGATTAAAGAATCCTTATATGCCACACCACAAACAAAAAAACAAAAAAAAGGGTCCTATTTCAAACAGCTATACACCCAAGACAGAAATTCAAACTCTAATAAAAGATCCCAAAACTGTCAATAAACATGTCAGACTGCATTTCATGTATGAACCAGAAAGAGAAAAAGTTTGATTGATGATAGTATTAGCATACAGGATTAAAATGAAAAAAAAATAAAGAGTATAAATTATTCTGGATTTGGGAAGAATTACATACTTCTGCGACTCGATGATGGGCAAACGCGCCACAATAAGTTCGCAATATATCTCAATAAGTTCATATGCTGCCATTGTCTTCTCTTCCCTAACCAAATGTTCAACCTATGTAGGAGGAACGAACAAAAAAAAAAAAAAACCATCCACACAATGAAAACGAATCGAAACAACAAATACATATGATAAAGAAAAATAAAATAAAAATCATCTGTTTGTTAGCTTACCCGGATTCTGGCAGTCTGGTCTTGGCCAGCGTCCAGCAATTGAGCCAGTTCTCTCTTGAGCAGCTTCACCTGTGCTGCTCTTTTATTCTTCAACAGCTTTATTCGCGAAGCCGCTAACTTCAACGCTGTTTTGCTGCATCAAAATTAAACTGTAAATTATCCAAATTAACTGATTTCTTCCTATAATAATAATAAAACGAAAACTATTAACAAGAAAACATGAATTCAATTAAAACAAAAAAAGAAAGGAATTCAAAATTCCAACTAATATTTCAAGCAATTAAGCAGAAATAATAAAAAGGAAGAATTGAGAAATTTACCATTTGGCAGGCTTGAAACTCCGGTGAAGCATAGCTGTTAAAATTTTCGATCGGTGGCAAACAAAGCAATTTCTTTTGAATCGATGACAAAGAAAGAATTCTTAAGAGTTTTGATTTTGGAAATACAAAAAGATGTAATACCTCTGTATTAATTATTATTATTTATTTACTACCACTTGTTTGCAGATCCTAAAGATGAAGAAGAAGAAAGAGAAATTAATTAGAGTGAAGTTTCGCGGAAACCTTCTTTTTTTCAATGTCGAAAAGTCTTTCTTTCAGTTATCTAAGAAACCGGGTCTAACTATAATATGGTATGGTAAGACGCATGCAAATCATTCATGGAACCTACCTTTCCGTTTTTCGACGGGCTAATGGTTGCTCCACTCCTTTTTGTATACTTTTTTGTATTCTTAAATTCATTTATTTTATGCAATAATGAATGTCCATATAGATATTCATTTATTTTTTATATTTTCATTATTCATAATTTTTAATGTGATTCAATTCATCATTTTATATAAGAAATTAAAAAAATGATGCAATTATTGTATTTTTAATTATTAATAGCCTCTTTCAATTCTCTTCATAATTTTAAAACCTATAAATAGGTTTGATAGTTTTTAGTTGGTGTATAAGTTTTCAAAAGAGAATAAAAAAACTTTGAAGTTCTTATCACTTCTATTCATATTATAGTGATTTCATTTTTTTGTCATCATTTTCTTCGATTCTCCTATTATTTCTATTTATTTTATAACAATGTCTATTTTTAGTTTTTTTCGTAATCTCATCTCAATTGTTAAGTTTTGGATAAGGTCTGTAAATAGATGGAATTTAGATCCCAATACGATCCAAATTCAATATAGTTAAATAGATTTATTAAAAAAATATTTTAGTCAAATCTATTAATCTGTTTATTAAATAGATCAAATTTAAATTTATCTTTATCCTATCTACTAATGGTTTGATCTAATATTAAAAATAATATTTTTTTCATAATAATTATAATATTTTAAAATATGAAAAATTTACAAATAAAAAGTAAATAAAATATGAAGTTAGATTGAAATTTAGAGTTTACTTATTATAAAGTTCAAATAATGTATATCATTCTACAATATTGGGTGTATTTTTTTAAAAAAAATTATATATAAATGTTATGCCATTTTCTTAATTAAATTTGGTGGAAAAAATATAAATTGACTTTTTTTTTTTAGAATTTAAATTATTATATTTGTCATCTCTTTATTTTTGCCACCACGTGGATAAGAAATAAAGATTATTTATTTTTATTTTTATTAGTTTTATCATACTTCCTATCTAATTCTAGATAAAATTTTATTAAAATTATTTAATTTTGTGCTTTTTAATTGTGTGAAATTTTGAATTTTTTTATAAAATTAATAGATAAAATATTATTTTAATATATTTTTTATGCATGCGATAGTTGAAATATATTTTATGTTCAAGTAATATATTAAATATAGTAATTATGAATTTTCTATCAAAACCAAGTAATAAATTTGATGGAGCTTCGATTCCAATCCACATTCATTAGGATTTGGATCAAAATTCATATATTCAAAATACAATTTTAATTCATAAGATTCGATTCAATTGGTTTAATAAAAACAATTCGATCCGAATTTACTTTAATCCAATCCAACTCCAATCTAAGTCCAACTTGTTGACAACCCTAGCTTTGAACTAATAGTGTTAATTTTTGTTGTTTTTTTTTTCATTTTAAACTCGTTCCCTCTACACTATTTTTCTATCTTAATTTTTTTTTACCAAATTTAAATAAATATATTTTAAAAAATAAATTGAAAAAAGGTGAAGATATCATTCTCTCTGGAAAAAATTTGAAAGAAAAAAAGCTAAAAAAAAAAGGAGAAGTTAAAAATAATTTTTTATCCAAAATATTTTTTGCAAGCTTAAATTTGTCTTTATAATAGTAAACAAATTTTGAGTATAAAATGAAATATTTATATATTTTTTTACATGTATCCGTATGATAGTAAGCAAATTTTGAATATAAAAATAATATATTTATACTATTTTTTAAAAAATATAAAAAGAGACTTAGTTAAATTTTTAAAATTAAGAAATTTATAAAATCAAAATAAGTAAATTATAGTATAATCTTTTGACGTATTATAAAATTATAAATATCATTCAAAAATTTAAAATTTAACTAAAACTCTCTTCGTATTAAAAAAAATACTTTAAATATTTTATTTTATACTTGTAATGTGTTTATCGAAGATAAATTTCAATCCATAAAGGATATTTTAGACAAAAAATTAGCTTTACCATTTTTTTTGTTTTCAATGTTTAGAAAGAACAATCGGATATATCTTCATCTTTTTTTCATTTTTTTAATTTTAAATATTTATTTATTTAAATTTATTAACAAAATAAGATTAAGACGAAAAAATAAAGTAAAGACATAAAAATAAGACATAAAAAGGAAAAAAAAAAAAAAAAAGACACCACGGGAACCTCTCCAATCCTTAACCTGTTTTCTTGCCATGTCACCGCAAGCAACTTAATAATCTCTTTAACTAAATTAAGTTAATTATAACTTACTCGTTTGGCATATCAAAACAAAATCAATTAATCCTTGTAATATAAATAATCATATATATTGATTATACTTAATTTAGTAGTATTTTATTTCAAAAATATTTTTTTTCTTATCAATCTTTTCATCTTATCTACTTATTTTTTTCATTTTTTTATTTATTAAAACAAAAAAAAAATACAAATTGAAAAGGCACATGAAATAAATGAAAATGATTAAGATTACAAACAAATTTAACAATACGAGAATTAAATATATATTTTCTAAAATTATTAGGACTAATTAATTAGTTTTGCTAAACTAAAGGGACTGAGTTATAATTAACTCAATTAACTAGGATAATAATTAGAGATTGTTATATATTCAATATGCAAAAAAAATTACTTTTTTATTTGAGTATCCCTACGTTTAGTTTCGCTATTTGATTGTGCGAACTTTCAAATTTTTTCTAATCAATTTTGCATATCGAATATGTAAGGAAAATCAAATACTTATGAAAGTAAATTGTGAAAAATAAAACTCGGAGTAGTAAAGAAATATATTTTACAAAGTCTAGAACTTGAGAGAAAGTAGTATTGAAAAGATAATTTACAAAGTGTAGAGTGATATCTACAACGGGCATAGATCATTGTAGTTTATGGCCTAAACACCACTTGTCCATATAAAAAATTATTCAAATCAACCATAAAAATCAACTTCTATTAAGGATATCCCTGTTTAGGACAATCTATAAAAAAATCAAACTCAAACAAGGGGGAAAAAAAAGGACCTAAAATAAATAGGATATAAAATCCTTTTTCTATACATGTAGTGAAAAGTCGGTCACGTTTGCGTCGGTGCTTTAAAAAATCTTCAAGAAAAACATAAACGCATTTCCAATTTATAAAATCCATCGAGTATCGCCATCTAAATAGTTGTCCGAAAAGAACTTTTAGAAACTTTGTTCATTATGTCCGAACCTTTTACTATGATCACATTGGTTTTGAACCTATTCGGGTGTAACACTATGGAACTTCTTGTTACATTGAATCAAAGTAAGTATTTTAATTTGTATAAAAAATCAGATTAAGACCAACGGGGCTTAAAGGATCATGAAATTATCATTTTTTTCTAATCAGTTCCCTTTTAGTTCTTCATTTTATAGAAAAATATCTACCTCCAAAAGCTTAACCGATTTACCACCCGCGAAGTCGTTGAGGTCATCCTTAACCACAAAAACAAGTTATGTTTAGAAATCCTATCCGATCGTGATGGTCGTTGCCTTCGAGTCCTTATCAAAAAAGAAAGAAACAATATGTAAAGGAATTTATTCCAGCAATGTCTTGATCCTTAACCATAAAAAGAAGACTTGGAGGATGAGTCTCCCACAAAACTATTATCTTTTCTCTCTGTCATTTCTTAATCATTTTAAAGTATTTTTTGAATCTTCTTGTTGACCCTTTTGCAATGCTTTATAATTGTATGGCTTGGATTCATAGTATACTCAACAAGCTTCCTCTTATATTTATTAAGTCTTTCTCTCTGCCTTTGTGTTCTTACGACTCTACGGCATATGTAGGTGATAGCTTTATATGAATTTTGTTTGTTTCTTTTTATTTTTTCTTCTACATATCCAATCCACACACATAATTATTTAATTATCGCTTTTTCTAAAAATATGATAAAATTTTTATAGCATCTCCTCCGCAAATTGAACATTTCTCAATTATCGAAGACTCTACCGGCATAAAAATCGATACATCTAAAATACACAACACATGCTCCAAATATGGATGATAACCAAAATTGTCAAAACTTGAGAAATTCAATCAATTTACACATTGAGACCGACATTTGCCTCGGATAATCTACTTAAATTAAAATCTAATTCGACGTAGCGGCAACTTACAAGAAGGAAATAAATACCGCCGATCCGAAATTTAGATGTCGGTCTATTACAACTTATTAAATTGCACACAAATACTAGAAAATAGGCTTCAAATTTCGTTGATTCAAAAAATATCAAAAATTGGGATAAACTTGAGATACTATCTTATAAGCTTTTATTAATCGAAGAAAGCTTTTTTTTTTTTTTTTTTTTTGCCTCCAAGTCATATATAAATAGAAAAAAAAATCCAAAAAACCCCTAAACCAACTCAAGAGGAAAACAAATGCAAAAATCTAAAAAACTAAAAAAAATCTCAAAAAACAGTAAAAATCGATTTTGAAGGCCTAAATAATATTTTTTTGCCAACATCACCCATACGCATGGGGATAGCCCATGTGTTTTGATCATTGGCCCGTTTGGCATCAATCTAGGCCTAAAAAACTTCGAATTGGGTTGATAGTTTTTTTAGCTCGCCGTGCTTATACCGTTTTATGAATTCCAAGACCCGTTAGTCCATATCACAATCTTTGTCTTTCTAGCTTCATTTTAAAGTATTGACATCACTTTATTTCTCCTCAATTCTT